CGGATGGAACGCATGACAGAAATTTATGATTTAATTTCTGATAATTTGGATAGGTCGTTCAAGCAGCAGGCTCGCTATTACAATCGTCACCATCGGGACGTAAAATTCGCGGACGGCGATCTCTTCCGGTGTAAGATACGAGTACTGTCTTCAGGACCGAGAGGCTTTACCTTCAAGTTGGCTCTGAAGGGGAGTACGAATGTTTACCGTATCAAAGAGATATACTCGGATTTTGTTTACGAATTATTAGATGCGGCAGGTAATATCGCCGGTAGACACCACGTCAAAGACTTGAAACTCGTGGCATCCGCGGACAATGAGCGACTCGCGCGCAATGCTGACGACGAGTGAGCCACGAAATTAGGAAACCCATAGTATTTATCCTCTCATCTCATTAGTTGTTCATGGTCCATTCTTCCCTCCCTACAGAATGGAGCAGGTTAAGGTGAAGCAGGCTTTGGCCGGCTTGAAATCAGTCACGGGAGGTTTGGTAATCTTGGAGGACATGGTGGAGAAGCCATACCTCGAGAGCGAACATCCCGTTTTTGACGAGGTGGTGCCCATTGTGGCCAAGCTCCAAACCCTAGTGGAGGAGTTGATGGCGGACCTGAAGTCCATCGTGGTGAGCGACCCTCCATGCTTGCAGACATGCGCGACTAACACGCGCTACAGACCCCTGCCGTATGTTAGGGCGGAGGCGAGCAATGGTCGAGCTCGGGACCTCGCCAAACAAATCGAGGAAAGTCCACACATGTGGATGGAATGGGGTGCTTGATCGGGCTGCGGCAACTGCAGTAACCCATCTCATCGGGCTTCGGACTGCCCGTATTTCAGGGGGACATTCTGCGGAAAATGCGGGGAGGCGGGCATGAACAACACGAACTGCCCTTACTGCAACCCCGGGGGTTATGGCATTGAGAGCCCACCAGGGACGAGGCTTGTCCGCCCCAAGATCCGCACATAAGCGCCTAAGAGGCTAGTTATGGACCGCGACTGGCGCACTGGAATTGGCGGCGAACTAAATGGACTACAATTTTGTATTATGCAAATATAATATATATTTAAT